ATCCTGATCCGGGAAGATCCCGCATGCCATGGGGCAGCTCAGCCCGTGTGTCGCAACTACTGAGACTGTGCCCTAGAGCCGCAACTACTGAAGGCTGCAACCTAGAGGCCATGGTCTGCAACAAGAGAAGCCAGCACAGTGAGAGGCCTGCACACCACAACTAGAGAGGAGCCCTAACGGCAACGAAGACCCAGCACAGCCAAACATAAATAAAACTGTTTTTTTTAAAAAGTTAGTGGCGGCATCAAAGGTCACAACAAAGTACTGGAGACAAAAGTCCATCAGTGTGGATGCGCAAAGCTGCCGGATGGAAAATGACAGGGATGCGGATGAGCTGGAGCAGCACCTGTCAACACCGCCGATCTCGGAAGTGCAGGGCTGAGCAGAGAAGGACGGCTGTACCACGACACGTATGACACTGCACATGCGGTCTAGGGACACATGCGTGTGCCGTGAGAGGGCACAGGCAGGGCTCCGGCTCCCTCTGTGAGGGATTCTTTCTTCAGTGGGATGGTTATTCTTTTCACATTTTTGTAAGTCTGAAATATTTTATTAAAAGCAGCAGAATACTGGGGACCTTCCTGGTGGTCCAGTGGCTAAGACTCCCCACTCCCAGTGCAGGGGGTCTGGGTTCAACCTCTGGTCAGGAAACTAGATCCCACATGCTGTGACTAAGACCTGGGGCAGCCAAAAAAAAAATTTTTTTTTAACTATTTGTTAAAAAACTCAACATTCAGAAAAAGAGATCATGGTATCTGGTCCCATCACTTCATGGCAAATAGAAGGGAAACAATGGAAACAGTGAGATACTTTATTTTTGGGGGGCTCCAAAATCACTGAAATGGTGACTGCAACCATGAAATTAAAAGATGCTTACTCCTTGGAAGGAAAGTTATGACCAACCTAGACAGCATATTAAAAAGCAGAGACATTACTTTACCAACAAAGGTCTGTCTAGTGAAGTCTATGATTTTTCCAGTAGTCATGTATGGATGTGAGAGTTGGACTCTAAAGAAAGCTGAGCGCCAAAGAATTGATGCTTTTGAATTGTGGTGCTGGAGAAGACTCTTGAGAGTCCCTTGGACTGCAAGGAGATCCAACCAGTCCATCCTAAAGGAAATCAGTCCTGAATATACATTGGAAAGACTGATGCTGAAGCTGAAACTCCAATACTTTGGCCACCTGATTCGAAGAACTGACTTCTTGGAAAAGACCCTGATGCTGGGAAAGATTGAAGGCGGGAAGAGAAGGGGACAACAGAGGATGAGACGGATGGCATCACTGACTCGATGGACATGAGTTTGAGCAAGCTCCAGGAGCTGGTGAAGGACAGAGAAGCCTGGCGTGCTGCAGTCCGTGGGGTCGCAAAGAGTCAGACACGAGTGAGCAACTGAACTGAACTGATTTGTTAAAAAAGGGACTTTCTTGGGGGTCCGGAGGTTAAGAATCTGCCTTACAATGAAGGGAATGCAGGTCTGATCCCTGGTGGGAAAGCTAACAAGCTCTTCTGCTGAGAAGCAAGCCACAACTAGAGAGTCTGAGTATGGCAATGGATAATCCTGCATGATGGAATGTAGATCCTACACGCTGCAACTAAGACTTAACACAGCCAAATAAATAGATAAATTTTTAAAAAGTCAGTAGAATATTGTGTTGAGTGAAAGAAGTGAAACACTCGACTGTAATCTGACGATTCCACTGACAGGAGGCTGCGCTCGTCTCGGGACTGCCGAAACGAAGGATCACTGATGGGGACATAAAGCAACGGACCGTCATCCCCCCGCAGCCAGGCTGTCACAGGGCTGTGCTCCCTGGAAAGACATGGGGTGGGGCCTCCTGCCTCTCCCGGCTTCCCTGGCGGCGTTTCTTGGCGTGTGGCCGCATCCGCCTCCTGTCCGTGTCTCAGACCTCCCCTTGCTTCTCCTGTAGCTGGGCCCTTGTTTCTTGGTACGTGAAGGCGTTTAGGCCTGTCTGGGTGACCTGGGATCCCCCATGCATCTCGAGCCTCAATCTGTTCCAATCTGCAAACACTTCCACCTGGGGATTTGCAAATGCTTCCACCTTGGGATCTGAAAATGCTTCCACCTGGGGATCTGCAAACACTTCCACCTGGGGACTGGCAAACACTTCCACCTGGGAACATTCTCGGGTTCCAGGATCAGGACCTTGCATCTCTGGGGCACATTATTTGTCCTACCCGTTCTGTTGAAAAACACTTTTTAAAAACATTTTGCCGTTCTCAGTCAAATCATCTATGAGCCACCCCCAAGGTTGGAGTTCATCTCCCACCAGCTCTGGGTGGTCCCGGGGCCTGGTTGGGAAAACCTCCGCCTGCTGGCTTGTCTTTGGGCCCGAACAGCCTGCGGGGAGGGGGGGGGTGGGATGGTGGTGTGACCTTCTTGTGGCTCTGGGAGACCCCAGGCTGCAAGACACCTTGTCCTCTAGTCTTGGAGAGGACTAGTTGACGACTAAGGGACCAGCCGTTCCCACAAGGCATACCCCGCTGTACCTGGGATCCTCCTTGAGGAGCGAAGCCATGTCCACAACAGGAAGCCTTTCCCAGAAACCACGCTGCTCCAAGATGCAGCCCTCTGGAGATGGCGGGAGGGAGGGAGGCAGCTGGGACAGGGCAGGGCAGGGGGCAGCTGTGAGCCCCCGCCACAAAGCTCCCAAGGGACAATGGCATTGCCCACCAGGCTGTGCCCTCCGTGAGGAAGAGTGTTTCTTCACCAAAAGAAGAGCCACACAAAAGAAGGAAGCTGGACCTCGGGCTCCCTCGAGGTACAACAATTAATTCAAGGTGGACCAATGAACTAAAGGTAAAAGCTATAATGATAAACTCTTAGAAGACCTTGGATTTGGCAGCGGGTTCTTAGATATAATACCAAAGCAAAAAAGATAAATTGGACTTCATCACAAACAAAACACTGCTGGGACTTCCCTGGGGGTCCAGTGGTTAAGACTCCAGGCTTCCAATCCAGGGGTCATGGGTTCAATCCCTGGTCAGGGAACTGAGATCCCTCATGCCGCAGGGGGAGGCCAAATAAACCAAAAACAAACAGAACAACAAAATACTGTTGTGCACCAAAGGTCCCTATCAAGAAAGGGGAAAAGATACATCACAGAATGGGAGACAATGTTTGCAAATCACAGGTCTGATAAGGGCCTGGTATGCAGAACAGGCGAAGAACTTCTACAACTGAACAGAAGACAACCCAACTTGGAAGTGGGCAAGGGACTTGAACAGACACTCCTCCAAAGACGATACACAAATGACCAAAAAAGCACGTGAAAAGATGCTCAACATCTGTTAGTCATTAAGGAAATGCAAATCAAAACCAGGGTGAGCTACCACAAGCAGGGAATGGCCACCCACTCCAGTATCCTTGCCTGGAGAATCCCACCGACAGAGGAGCCTACAGAGTCCTCTGCAGACTATGGCTATAGTCCATAGGGTTGCAAAGAGTCGGACATGACTGAGCGACTGACATACACATCACACCCACTACCACGGCTGTAAAAACCAAAAGCCAGGGACTTCCCTGGTGGTCCTGTGGCTGGAATTCCATGCTCCCCATACAGGGGGCATGGGTTTGATCCCTGGTTGGGGAACTGGATGCCGCAGGCTAGAGATCATGCATGCCACAATGAAAAGATCCCGCATGCTGCAACTGAGACCCGGTGCAGCCAAATATACGTATAAAAAGTCAGAAAATAAAAGTGTTGGCAAAGACACGGTGCATCTGGAGCCTTTTTGAGCTGCTGGTGGGGATGTAAAATGGTGTTGCTGTGGAACACAATCTGGTGGTCCCTCACGAAAAGAATTGAAACAGAATGATCACATGGCCCAGCAAGTCCAGTCCTGAGCATATAACCAAAAGAATTGAAAAGAGGTGTTCAAACAAATAACCTATCCATGAACGTTCATTGCTCTACTAGTCACAATAGCCCAAGATCAGAAACAACTCAAATATCTACCAACTGTAGTCTACCCATATAAGGAATACCATTCAGCCACAAAAAAGAAATCTTCCCTGGTCGCTCAGAGGATAAAGAGTCTGCCTGCAATGCAGGAGACCTGGGTTCAATCCCCAGGTCAGGAAGATCCTCTGGAGAAAGAAATGGCAACCCACTCCAGTATTCTTGCCTGGAGAATCCCATGGACAGAGGAGGCTGGTGGGTCACAGTCCCTGGGGTCGCAAAGAGTCGGACATGACTGAGCCACCAACGCACAGAAAGAAATGAAGTGCTGATTCATGCTACAGTGTGAATGAACCCCAAAAACATAACGTAAGATAAAATAAGCCAGACACGAGAGGTCACAGACTGTATGATTCTCTTTATATGAAATATCAAGAACAGGTAAATCCATGGGGACAGGAAGCAGAGTGGTAACTGCCAGGCAAAGCGGGGAGATGGGAGTGACAGTTTGAGAGGCGGATGAAAGATTTTGGAATTTGACAGAGTTGGTGGTTGGACAACCTCTAATGAACACTACTGAATTACACATCTAAAAAGCAATCATTTTAGGTTAAGGGAATATCACCTCCATTAAAAAACTCCAAGCACTCCAGCCACTTCAACTGACCCAGCTCCAAGTGGACTGTTGCCCTGACCCACACTTCCTAGGCAACAGGACCCCACTCTGGACTCCTTGGCAAGGCCCTCTCACCTCCACCTTCAGTCTCCCTACCCTGGTCATTCATGGGTCTATCTGCCTGGCTGGGTTCTCTTTTGATAGATTTGCTTGCTGAAAATTTTTAAAAGAAAGTTAAAGAAAAACACATCTAATGGAATAAACCAAAAATAGATTCATTTAGGGGGACAAGTGTTAAAGACGGGGAAACTACAAGATCTTTGCCGGCCCCGGGCTAAGCTGTAAGCAGTCTTGCTACTGGTCTGGACAGAGTGACACCCAGCACCAGGCAGCTAAAAATCACCCATTTGTTTGGTATTTACAAGAGCAAAAGAGAACAACCAAGCAGACTTGCAGTGAGGAGTCAGAGCTGGGCCTCAGCCCCCGCGCCTCCGAGTCGCAAAGCAGCTTCTGGCTTTGTCCTCTGGTTCCGCTCGTGGGCGGCCACGAAGTTCAGCAAATCGATGGCAGTGACGACCCCGAACACCGTCTGTCTCTTGCTGGACTCCCCGTGGCAGCGGTCTGAGGATGGACAAGGCCAAAGGTTCAGAGGGGCCTCTGCCCAGAGCAGAGCTGGGGCCACTGAGCCCATCCCCAGGCATGGGCAGGTGGGCCAGCCCTGAGGCTGCCCATGTCCATGGGCACCTGTGTGTCTGACCACAAGTGCCCTCTCCTCCCAAGAGTATCCATGCAGGTGAGGCTGCAGAGAGCAGGGCCTGACCCCTCTGAGTCACACCCATGGCGGGAAGCCTGAGGGTCAAAGTCAATGGGAGCAGCTGGTGCCCAAGGTCTGAGTCTTGGCCTGAAATCCCAGTCCCACTCACACCCCCTACCACTACCAGCTCGCATCTCTGGCTTACAATTCTGTGCTCAAACCCACGCCTTTCTCTCAGGCTTAGAATGAACTCGGGCCCCCTGCCCTGCAGCCCAAGGGTAGAAAGGGTGGCTGAGATGGTTAATTCAACATTTCAACCCAACTGGGCCACAGAGTGCCCCCCTATATTGGGTCGAACGTCATTCTGGGTATCTTTGGATGTGAACAACTCTTGACTGGATGGACCCAGTAAAGCAGATCGCCCTGCCCAGTGTGGGTGGGCCTTGTTCAATCAGTTGAAGGCCCAAATAGAGCAGAAGAACTGACCCTCCATGAGTAGGAGGAAAGAGTCCTGCCTTTGGGCTTGGGAACATTGGATCTTGGGGTCCCAGGCCTGCCCACTCACCCTACAGGTCTTCTTGGGGCATGCCAGCCTGTAAGCCGATTCCTTACAGGGAATCTCTATATGCACATGTCCTGCTGGTTCTCTTTCTCGGGAGAATGCTGACTGACAGCAGTGGAGAAGCCCACGGAGGGTGGGGCAGAGCTGAGCAGTGGGTGGGAAATGACCGGGGTGCATCCCATTCCACCAGCTCCCTCCTCGGTCTGTCCCTGACAACCTTGAGGGCAGAGGTCGACAGAGTGGGGGTGGGGAGGCACGGAGGTGCCAGCTTGGAGCGCCTCAGTAAAAGGCACAGGGGCCCAGGAGAGACCAGGGGCTTTAGGCAAAGGGGCAGCTTTGGAGGGGCACTGAATCCCCAGGGGGCGGCGGTCAGAGTGGCCTCCAGGCCCCCTGGGGGCACTGTCCAACACCAGGTCTTTAAACTTTCTGCAAAGGGCTGCTGGGTGTCTGTTGCGACCACGCACCTCTGCCAACACAGCACAAACGCGTCTGTGGCCGTGCTTCCAGGTAGGGCTGCGTCCACGGAAACTACTCACAGACCCTGACACTGGATCCCTGGTCAGGGTGCGCGGGTGTTCAAACACGAGGATACAGTCAACATAGAGGAGGACCCTCCCAGCCGGGCTCAGGGTCCGGGGCTGGACGCCCTCCCCCTGCGCTCGGAGGCTGCGATACTGGTCACAGCGCCACTTCCGAGCTCCAGGGGCGGGCGGGGCGGACATACCTGCTGGCCCCCCCACCTCTCCCGACAAGGCCAGGTTCCGCGCTGTGGAGCCAAGGATGGGAGAGGGGTTAGAGCTGGTGTCCAGGCTCTTGGACCAACCCTCAGTGGGAAAGTGGGTGGGCTCCAAGGCCCCCACCCAATTCTTGGGATTTCTACAACCTTGTTGTAGCTTAGAACCCGAAGGACAGCACTAGCCTCTGGAGAGGCAGCAAGGAGGCCTGGGTTATAAAGTCCCCTAGCTCATTGGTAGCCAGCACCCAGACCTGGCCCACAGCAGGGTCCCTCTGGGATCTACATCCAAGGCAGGAAAGCTCATGTGTCGGAGGCTCGGCAGCCAGCGTCCCACAGAGCTCCTGCCCCTGCCTCCCTCCCCCAGCCCCTGGGGACCCAGCTTACACTGGATCTGCTCGTGGACCACCAGGGCGAAGTGGTCCATCTCCAGGATGTGCAAGAGCTTGCCGAGTGGGTCCGTCAGGAGGATCTGGAAGAGAAGCCATGGTCAGCGCTCGCCGGCTGGAGCCCAAGGAAAGGAGCAGCAGAGAGGCTGGCGTCCCCACAGGGCTTCTTCTGGAGCCTCCTGCTGACCCAAGAGGCTGAACACCACTCGACACTCGTAAAAAGACACCTGGATGAACTGGAAGAACTGATGCTTTTGAACTGTAGTGCTGGAAGATACTGTTGAGAGTCCCTTGGACAACAAGGAGATCAAACCCGTCAATCCAGATCAAACCAGTCACTCCTAGAGAAAATCAAGCCTGAATATTCATTGGAAGGACTGATGCTGAAACTGAAGCTCTAATACTTTGGCCACGTGATGTGAAGAACTGACTCATTGGAAAAGACCTCCGGGCAAGACTGAAGGCAGGAGGAGAAGGGGACAACAGAGGATGAGAGAGCTGGATGGCATCAATGGACATGAGTTTGAGCAAGCTTCGGGAGTTGGTGATGGACAGGGAAGCCTGGCGTGCTGCAGTCCATGGGGACACAAAGAGTCGGACATGACTGGGCAACTGAACAACAGAACTGCAGAACCCAACGACTGGACCCTCAGTGAACTAGGGGCTTCAATTATGAACAATGCAGTATCCACCGCCCATTGGCACGAATCCCACATCAGGACAAGACGTAGTGCTGCAGGGGACAGGGAGGGGAAGGCAGCATGGGGCCCTCTGCTCTATCTGCTCGACAGACAACGGTGAGAGCCTCTAAGAGAAAGAAGGAAGCACACTTAGGGGCCATTTTTCAACCCCCAAGGTGACCTCCAAAGCAGTGAGCCCCCGGGAAACCCCACTGGGTATGCTTTCTAGTTTGACTCCAGTAACAGAGGCAGGTTCCCTGGGAGAAGATGCAAGCTCCAGGGTGGGAGGAAATAGGCCAGCAGAACTTTCACCTGTGTGAGGAGGGCCGGGCCCACCTGCCCACTGGGTTTGCGTGCATGCTGAGGGGCACACAACACAGCCATGCTGGGCTGCAGGAGCAACTTCCCCAATGCTTGTCTCCACGAGGTCAGACGCTGGACGGCGTCAGATCACGGGGGTCAGGACTCCTCCTCCCCTCTGGGAGAACCGGGTCGTCAGGGGAGCCAGAGCTCCATGGGGACCTCTTCATGTTGCTCAGTGATGGCAGCCAGCTCCCCAAGGTGGCGGCGGTGAGAAGGGGCAGCCCTGGGCAGGGAAGGTGTGCCCAGAGACGGGACCCGCCCGGGTTTCCACAGTGCTGCATTCTTCTTGGGACACTATCTGGACAGGGACGGGGATGCGTGGGGCCACACTGAAGGACCTCCTGAGTCTGCCTGTACCCACCCAGCACCTCAGTGGCAAGGCACCAAGACCCCCGAGGATCTGAGTGGCCCTGGAGCCCAAGGCGCCGGGACTCAGCTACCCCCTGGAGGAAAGGTGTGGCTGCAGGCCAGCCTGGGACACTAAGGGAGGGGGACTTCAGAGGCTCAGCTCTTCCCTGAGGAAGGGGAGGGGCATGCACACAGCGAAGAATCAGCAGGAAAGGCCAGAGACACAACAGAGCTGGACTCAGGCATGGAAGGGTGGACGGTGTGCAGGCCACACCTCGGAGGGACCTTGAAACACTCTTCTGCGTAAAAGCAGCCAGACAAGGGCACACACATTGGAGCTGTGTGCACATGAGCCCAGAAAGGGCACAGATGGGAGGGCTGTGTGCACACACGAACTCAGGGATGGTACACACGGGGCTGCGTGCACACGAGCCCACGGATGGTACACATGAGCCCAGGGAGGGCACACATGGGGCTGTGTGCACACATGAGCCTGGGGAGTGTGCACCGTCTGCAGGACAGGGTGCACACCAGCGGGCCGGGAGAGGAGGGGCGAGGAAGCCTTCAGGTGTGACGTGGGTGAGACCTCGCCGATGCTGGCCTCTCCCCACCCGGGGCTTCTCACTTTGTGAAGCCAGGGCAAATCCTCAGATTTATGGATCTGATGAGGTGAGCGTCAGGGACCCTGCACCCTCGAGAGGGACTCCCCGCCCCACCTTCCAGGACAGAGCTGGTCTCTGCACCGCCTGCTTGGGTCACGCGGGATGCGTACCTGTTTGAACTGCTTGTAGATGACTTTGCAGACCTGGTCCGATGGCTGAACCTTCCCTGCAAGCAGGGACGACAGCATGTTCCCCAGGGTCACCATTCCTAGGATCACCCTGGGGAAGTGGACACAAGGCAGCAGTCAGCGCTGGCGCCTCCCCTACAATATGGCAGAACTCAGCACAGCCGCCCTCAGGGCCAAACCCGGACTCCTCTTGGAATCAACCACTATCTGTCCTGGTGGCTCGGATGCTAAAGAATCCGCCTGCCATGTGGGAGACCCGGGTTCGATCCTTGGGTCGGGAAGATCCCCTGGAGAAGGAAATCACATCCCACTCCAGTGTTCTTGCCTGGAGAACCCCATGGACAGAGAAGACTGGCAGGCTGCAGTCCATGGGGTTGCAAAGAGCTGGACATGACTGATTGACTCACTACGAACATTATCTGCCCGGGGTCTCCGTGTGGCACAGTGGTGACCCGACGCCCCGCCCTTGGAGCTGACTGTCTGGTGCGGGCAGACAGCAAACCAGTGGGTGAATCCTTTGGGCATTGCCATTCTGACGAGTGTCAAGGGTCACCAACTGGCCAGTGTCCTGGGATGTGGGCCTTTTGGTGCTAGAATTGGGACAGTCTTGGGAGAGTCAGACGGGGGACCGTCACCACTGCACGTCTGCCGTGGTCTTCCAGGCAGGGACGTGCTCCTGTGCGCACACTGGGCACAGGCGGGTGGGAAGGGTTAATATGAGCGGCCCCCACCCCGGCCAGGGCTCAGGGGCCAGCTGTCCAACGCTCGGAGCATCTGTATGAAAAGTGCCCAAGGTCAGCTGGCCAGCTGTGGGGCCTGCTGGGCCGCCCTGCCCAGCAGCAAGGGCGCAGAGCAGAGCGGCACACACACAGGGCCTGTAGGGCAGAGCGCTGGACGGAGGCTGAGACTGACCCTGACTCGTCCACCACGGGCGCCTGGTCGAAGCCCTTCTCCCGGAGGATCTCGATGGTGTGCTCACAGGTGACAGTGGGCAGCACGGTCAGCGGGGCTGAGAGGCTCAGCTCCTGAACCTGGAGATGCCACCACCTGAGGGAAGAGGGCGGGCCAGGGAGTCCGTGAACTGAGGGGCGGGTGAGGGGAGCCCGCGGGGGGCGTCCAGCCAGATAGGGGGCTGCACACATGCTGCTGGGGACCAGGCACTTGAGTCCTGAGCTCCACCTGGGGGGTCTCTGCCCAGAGCTGTCCTCACCATGGTTTCTTCACCGAGATCTCCTCCTCCTTCATGAAGCCCTTCTGCAGCATCCACTTGTCGCTCAGGAACTTGGACCTACAGCATCAGAAGCCACAGGGCTGGGCGGAGGGTCTCAACACCACCCCCACCCCCAAAGAGGGCAGAGGGGCTCAGAGAAAGCCCAGACCCCATCCTCTCCAGACCCCACAGTCCAGCAGAGACCCCAAGGGGCTGGCTGGAGGCTCCATGAAGAGATCTGAGGGCTAGATGCCAGAAAGACTTCCTAGGGAATGGTGGTCGGTGTGGGTATCTGGCCAACCAGACCTGAATAAGCCCAGAGCACAGTAGAAGGCTCTGTGATGGGCTGGGACCTGGGACCCGGGACCCTTCGTTGCAATGCCTGCACCTGGACAAACATCTCTTCCAACAACAGATACAAGGAAACAAGAAGGGACTAGAAGTAACCATGTGCATGTGCGGATGGGACAAATTGTGTACAAGATACTAAAAGACCCAAAACCCGACTAACAACAGATACAAGGAAACAAGAAGGGACTAGAAGTAACCATGTGCATGTGTGGATGGGACAAATTGTGTACAAGATACTAAAAGACCCAAAACCCGACTGCCACTTCTGAGGTGTCAGGAGCAAAGGCAGGGCCTTGCTCATGCCCCCTGCACACACCACCACCCAGCGGTGGACAAACCACCCAGGCCACCCTCTGGCCCGACCCCATGTAAGGACCCAGCTCGCCATCCCCCACACTCAGGGAGCAAGTCAGGGACCCGTTATTAATATTTGCTTTTGCTCCCACTGCTGCAGCAAGTCCCGGTAAAGCCCTGCCTGAACTTCCTGTCTGGCCTCAGATCCATTTCTACTGATCAAAGCGTCTAAGACCCTGGTCAGTAACAGTTCTGTCCCAAATCTCGTGTCATCACAGCCCCTCAGGGCTTCTGGCAGGGGGAGCCTGTCCCACCAGGGGTCGGAGGACATCAGGCCAGGCTTCAGGGGCTGCCAGAAACCTGCCCCTAAAGGCAGATGAGGGCCAACAAAGTAGGGTGCAGAGAGGCCCCCCAGGCCCAGCCCAGACGTCTGTGCCCAAGGACATGATCACTCACTCACTCCAGCCATCTCTCTCTCTCACACACACACAGGCACACATGTGTGCCCACACAGCAGGCCAGCCAAGCACATGGGGAGATGGCCACTCTCATGCACTATGTAGTGTGGGTGGGTAGCCAGGCTCAGGGCAACTTGGCAGTGGACACCCAGAGGTAACTCACCCCCAGCTGGAGTCCTAATTACGGATGCCCCCTGGGGGAAGCTGAGCTCACTCGAGGTGTGTAACCCATCACTCTTGGGTCAGGGAGGACACCAGAGGGTACATGCATCCATGGGGGAGGATATTAGCCCCATGTGACCTCCCGCCCACACTCCAACCTTGGCGCTTTCAGCCAGTGGCCCGAGGCAGGGCCATGAGCCCAGAGGAGCCGGTGAGCTCCAGGTGCACACACGGCAGGTGCATAGACACTCAGAACCACTGGACTGGAAGGGGCCTCGGGGGGCACTGACCCCAGCCTGGGTTCCCCCAGTTCAGGGCCAGACGGTGAGTGAGCAATGGATCCAGTGGGTGGGGGTGGGGAGCTGCTCTCAGGGCGGCCGCATCTTCATCCTCATCCTCCTTGGCTGAAGGGAGGCCTCGAGAGCTTGAAGGAGTGAGGGGGCACACAGGGTCCCTTCCCTGGGGAGTCCCTCCAGGCCCCCCGGTGCTGCCACGATGAACGCACACAGTGCACAGACTTCCAAAGGCATCTAGGATACCCAAGCTGGGGACAAGCCGGCCGAGAACGCGTGAATTCCAGGGACGTGGAGAGGGGCTGCAGACCCCAGGCTCCCTGGCCCCCGCTGTCAGATCTGGGGGGAATGGCCAGAAGCAGAGCTCAGGCGCTGGAGGCCGGGGGGGAACGGACGCCTCACATGTAGTTCCGCACCGAGTCTGGCAGGATCACCACGCAGCGCTGGCCTTCCTGCAGCTCCTGGGCGGCCTTCACGGCCACGGACATGGCGCTGCCGGAGCTGCCACCTGCCGAGAGGGCGGGAGGGGTCAGACCCGCTGCGGGGGAGCTGCGTGTGCACCCAAGCGTGGGCATGCCCACACTTGCTCTGGAGAGATCGTTGGTGGAGGAGCTGGGCGTGGGGTGCTGGGGAACCCCACTTTTCACTGTCCGTCCACACCTTGCTCCGTCTCCCATCTGCTCCGCACTGCACCACCAGAGCCTTCCACGGAACTCAGAGCCCTGGGGTGCAGGTGGCCGGGTGGCCAGAGCGAGGGTGTCCCTCACACGCTGGATGGAAGCCAGCGGGGCAGAGCGCAGTGTCCACTCACCGCACAGCAGCCCCTCCTGAGCGATCAGCATGCGGGCGAAAGCGAAGGCCTCCTCGTCGTTGCTCTTGAACCACTTGTCCACTACCTGTGGGAAGCCGAGGGCAGCAGTCAGCACTCGGCAGTCGGGTAGGGGGGTGGGGGTGGGCGTGGGACCCATGGCCCAGCTTGCAGTCTTGCAGACAACGGTGGTCCAAGTGGCCGTGACCTTCAGGGAGGCGGCCCAGCATCTGTCTGGGATCCAACACTCACTCTGCAGACCTAGATCGTTCCCCCTGCCCCTGCCCAAGGGTCTGGCACAGTGTGCCCATGGCACCTAAGCCGCCCGCCAGCCCTGCACCATGGCCTCACTCTAGTCTAGCTCTCTCTGCCTGAAGCTTCCTTGAGGGTCCTTAAAAGGAGACTTCTCTGTGCTCCTCACATCTCCCTCCTTGGCCACTCACCTGCCCCAGCCGCTCTGCAGGGAGGTCTGTGCAGAGACAGGACGTGCCGCACCCCCACCCATGGCCTCTGTGTCCACGGCAGGAGCTCACTGATCACAGTACCACGAGTCACCACGTGAGGACGCCTGGGACGGCACCTCGTGTACCACCCTCTACACAGCTCGGAACTCACTTCTCTGCTCCGCCCGTGCCCAGCCGGACAAAGCTGAGGCTGGCCCCATCACTGCCGCCCTGCCTACCGTGCGGTCCAGCACCGTGGGGATGAAGTCATAGCCGATCCCTTCCACCTCATAGGCCGTCTGCTCCGTCTGGTTCAGCTCCTCGGGCTCTGCGAGGATGGAGCCCTCAGGATCCACACCAATGATCTGCGGAGTGGGCGTCCTTAGGGCTCCAGTCTCATGTGCCCGGCTGGCATCAGGGTGCAGTCCCGCTCCCAGGCCTCAAGACTCAAAACCCAGAAACCCAAGCCCAGGTGCTGGGAGATCACACGTTGAATGTCCAGCTGGGGGCACTGGGGGTGGGGGCAGTGGGAGGCTGGGGGAAGTGGATTTCCGGGAAGCTCCTCCTGTGCAGGGCACCTGGGACAGCCCTGGAGAGACACCAATGGGCAGTGGGAGCCTGGAGTGAGGGGCAGTGCTGGGATGACCTGTCCTGGACATCAGAGAAACGGGCAGCAAGAGAGGATGCGTGGGCACCACCAGTGGGGTCTTTCTGAGCCCCTCCCCAGGCCCAAGTGCCCCTCCCTGATCTCAGAGCTCAGGACCTGAGTCTGAGCGCTTATGGCTCTGAGACGATCCTGGGAGGCCCCCCACCAACTGGACTCTCCCACCCCAGTCCATCTGGGCACCTGGGTCACGCACTGCTGTCCTTTATCAGCTGGCAGGTACACACACTCTACAAGTCAAGGCTATCTAGGCAGAAGTGACAGGAACCAGAACTTTCAGCTCTAAAGCAGAAGGCTGCTCTGGGTGCTCAAGGCCAAGCAGACTGATGGCTAAGCCTCTGGCTGCAGTTTAGGCCACAGGTGGGAAACATGCCCAAGTCCAGGCCCCCATCTCTGCGCAGGGCAGGGCGGGGTGGTGCCCATGCCCCTCGCAGTCCCTCACCTTACACCCAGGGCACTTCTCCTTCAGCTTCCTGGCCACGCCTGTGATGGTCCCACCTGTGCCCGCCGATGCCACCAGCATGTCCAGCCTCCCTGCGGGTGGAGAAGTGTGTCAGGGAGGACATCCCCGGGAGGGAGTGGCCGTGCCCCCCCAACTCTTCTTAGGAATCAAGAACGCTCTTGAACATGACAAAGGCAGGTCATCCAAAGGGCAAAAGCAGACCTGTTCTCAGGTTGAAACCTCTCATCACATCCTCCACCTTGTAAGCATTCACCATAACGGGGACCCAGGAAGTCCCATTTAATCTAAACAGCAGCCAGTCGCTAAAACCCCCAGGAGTTGTGAATCCGTGAGCAGGGGACCTTCCTGCAGGAGCTGGGGCACAGGGGGCTGTCTGGTTTCAGATGACGTGGGTAAGTGAACTGAACTGTCAACGGAACTAGAATTAACCGCTCAGCTCAGCTCTGACATTGTCTGGCCTCTCTCGGCACCTGGCGGCCGGCTCAGGCACCCAGCAGGCAAGTCAGCGCGGGAACCCATGCTGAGGCAGACTCAGTGTTTTTGCCAAATGAGAGGATTCTCACATGTAAAACCTGGGTGAGCAAATGCCTGGACCATGCTGCCTGGCTCCTGGGCACAGCATGAGGGCCCTTAAGCCAACACCAGGCTCCAAAGAGGAAGCCAAAGGTGCCAAGCCCCTGGCAGCCGCTCCCAGGACTCTCTCAGGAAACAGCGCTTAGAGAACACTGCAGCCCCCATGGGGCTTGGCACCAAGTGTGCAGAGAGCTTTCAAAAAGCCAAGCCGCAAGGCGCCACCCCAGGTCTGCACACGAGAAAACCCGAACGCTGAATTCAGTGCCCACACTGGTGTTTGGGGTCAGTGCCGTTCAGCATATGAAGGCCCTACTGTGAGCCTCGCGCTTGCTCCCTGCACGCAGGAGCTCCTACAGGTCTGGAGGAAAGACTTCCAGGTAGACAGATATGACCGCATGGTAAGCTGGGTGCTGTAGGCGAGGCACGGGCAGAGTCCAAGAGGGCAGAATGGAGGGTGGAAACTGCTCCTGGGAAATGTTCCGGATGGCATTTCACAGGGAAGGGATATCTGAACTGGGTTTTGAAGGATGAACAGGAGCTTACCGAGGAACAGGTAAGTGTACACTCCCACTCGAGATGGACAGCAGACTTAGAGGTACCCACCGTCACACTGCTGCAGGATCTCCTCGGCCGTGATGTCATAGTGAGCGAGGGGGTTGCTGGCGTTGCGGTACTGCCAGGAAAGAGCAAAGGAGCCATGATGAGGTCAAAGCACAGAACTGGCAGCAGCCACAGGATACCAGGCAAACGGACTCAGTGCCAGCCAGAGAGGATCCCGTGGCTCAACGACACCAAGCATCAAAACCAGCTCTCCAGAAGATGAGATTGCTGAACTAACCCAGAAGTGGGATGAATGACAAAGAAGAGCGTCCAGTTAAAAGCCTGCATGCATTTCGTGTCTTAGAGAGCTCCCAGGGTCCTTTGCAAGGGGCATTCCAACCCAGCATGCTGAGCTAAGCCCTTGAAGCCGGCACATGGGCAGCAGAGCCAAAGGCTCGCCGACCCCATCGGCCACACACTGGGCCTGGAGAGGGCAGGAACTGCATGCCAGCACATCAGTCACTCCCCGCCCCTCCTCCTGCAGAGGCGACACCACCCGCAAGCCCCAGAGATCCCCCAGGGAAGGCCCCACTCGGTCCAAACCTCTGGGAGCATGCTCACCCCCCAGGCCCAACCTCACCTGGTCCAGGATGTGAGAATTGGGGATCTCATTCCTTAGCCTCCAGGCCACCCCTACGTGCGACTCGGGGGAGTCAAATCTGGCATTGGTGGGCGTCCTCACGATCTCAGCCCCCAGGGCCCGCAGGACGTCCACCTGCAGAGGCACGTGGCGGCCTTCACCTCCGAGCCAGGCCTGCAGCGCGGGGACAGAGGCCTGGGAGCCGCCCCATCCCCCGCCCACCTGCCTACCTTCTCTGTGCTCATCTTCTCCGGCATCACAATGATGCAGCGATAGCCCTTCACGGCGGCGGCCAGGGCCAGCCCGATCCCTGGGGATAGGACATGGGGTGAGAGGGGCCATGGCACCCTCCAGGCCCCACCGCCAGCCCCAAAGGCCCAGGGGAAAGGGTGCTGGCAAAAGGCCCTCCATCACTCCCTTCTGCCCTCGAATGAGGGGAGAAAATGGGGTGCACGTCATGACCCCCAATTCCTCCAGCTCTTACTGGGAGCCAGGGAGATGATGATAACAGTGGCTAAGACTCCAAGCTCCCAATGAAGGGCACCTGGGTTTGATTCCTGGTCAGGAAACTAGATCCCACATGCCGCAAGTAAGATCCACATGCCACAGTTAAGACCCGGCACAGCCAAATGAGTGAGTAAATATTTCAAAAAGCAACAGCAGCAGACACTGTGGGGCTCACTGAGGACCCAGGGGCTGCTGCGCCGGAAGGGAGAGTGACCCTGAATGCAGCCAGAGGGGGGCACTGCCCCTCCCACCCCCACCTCGGGCCGGGAGGAGGAGGCAGCACCCACCTGTGTTCCCTGACGTCGGCTCAATGATCGTGTCCCCAGGCTTTAGGGTCCCCTCACGCTCGGCGTCCTCAATCATCCGCAGGCTGATACGGTCCTTCACGCTCCCGCCCGCGTTGAAGAACTCGCACTTGGCCACTGGGAGCCAAAGACACATCACGAGAAAAAGAGGCCCTGAGCCCTAACTGATGCTTGCCATCCCCTTCCCATCATCCGATAAGCCCGGGATGCAGCGGCAGGCTTCAGGGATTCTGAAAATCATCACCTTCCACTGCGTCTCCCACACCTGACCTGGATGAAGGTGCTCACCCACTGTGGCTTCTCTTAGTTGTCCATCCCACCCTCCATGGACGATGTAGCGACTCCAGGTGGATGAGACAGAGGCGCCAAGGGGGCGCCCCACTGGATGGACGGAGCAGAGCCACCCCCGTGGGCAGCACAGTCCCAAAGAGACATGCCGGGCATGCGCGGGGGCGGGGCGGGGGGGGTGTGTGACTGGAGCTCAGGAATGCTGGGAGTGGTGACTGGAGCCCCAGGCTTAAATCGGGCCCAGTGGCCCTGCCAAATGACCTCATATCCTGAAGTAACAGCCCCCCATCACACGGCCAGACCACAATCGGCAGACCCTCTGCACCCCAGTCCCCTGGGCCTCCTGGCCCAGTGGGGCTCGCTGCCATCCTCAGCATCCTGCAGACAGGACCGCCCTTGCTGTGCCCAAGCCTCTGCTTGTCTTTCCGAGGGGCACTCCCTCCCACCTCTTAAAACTAGGCCGTGTCAGTAAAAGGGGCAATGTGGCTCCAAATGTGACTGGCAGGGCCCGGGACGGCCTGGAGGGCCCATAGATCGTGCTCTGCCCTGGTCTGTGCTGGCTTCTGAAATCCCACAACCAGAGACAGGCTTTCTCCCCAGGGACTCAGAGAGGCCCGGCTGGGACAGTGAAGGGGGGGCTCTCAAGTGTCTGACCTCGAGGAGGCCTGCACCCTGGACTCTTTGTGGCCACACAATTGAATTAGTTAGAAAATTCTAACGAGCCCATGGAAAGGCTGGCAGGAAGGCAGGGATTCCAGCGGATCGGCCGTGGGCAAGTCACGTAACCAATCTGAGCCTCGGTTTTTCCATCTGTAAAATGGACACACTAGAGTCTGTTTCAAGGGCTCCTGCCGAGCTGAGGTGCAGCAGGCCCATGCCTCCAGGGTACTAGGTGATGGCTTCTATTATCTGACATGAGAGCACAGATTCCACTGTGGCACAGCCCCAGCAGCGACCCCCCAAACCTGGTGGTGTGTTCTGTTCACTGCACTGGAGGAAACTCTTCACTGCCTGGGGAGGGGATGCAGGGGTGGGTGGAGGCAGGAAGGCTCTAATGATGATGCCTCTGGGGTGAATCGACCACAGGGCCTCGGTCCCTCTAGGGGGCACCAAGCCCCTAGACCCCTACACTCTCCCCTCCCCAGCTCTCTGCTCCAGCACTGGGCCTGGTCCCCTGTCCCCCCAACCAGGACCTCTGCACCTGCCACTTCCTCTGGGTCAAGGCTGATGTCTACCTGGGCTCCAGGCACCCTCCCCGGTCCTGGAGATAAACTCCTGCAAAGACGCCCCCACCCCACAGGACTTTGAGGAGACTCAAGGGTGATCCCCTTGTGTATGGGGCCCAGGCAAACACAGCCCCCGAATTCCCACTGCATCTCATGAGTGACAAGTGTGTCTGTCTAAGCCCCAAGGCAGCCACTTCCTGCCGGGCTGATGGCTGAGACCCTCCTCACTGTCACGTCAGCCCGTCCAAGCCACAGCGTGTCTGCTCCTCCCTGGGACAGGACAGAAGAGTCCCGCTCTGCTCCTGGGGTTGGGCCTCCTCCTCCTGCAGCTGCCGGGTTACATCACCCGCATTCCCTGCTCGGGTACCACCCCGACGTCTGCCTGGACACGCTGCTCTCCACACTCAGGTCTCAGCTCTCTGACACCGACGGCTCCGGAGCGGCCTAGGTCACCCCCCAGCACCCCTCCCTGTCGTGTACGCTTCTGACCTTACCCGATGTGCAGGGAACCTGCCCAGGGTCCGAGGGGCCCACACACCCCCCAGGCCCACAAGCCTCGCACAGGGCGAGGAAGCCCGCACTCACAGAGCTCACACTTGAGGCCGAAGTTCCTCCCAATCTTGTTGATCCTCACCATCGGGGTATCCCCGATTTTCTTCAGGATATCCGGCAAGATTTTTGGAGATTTTGCCCTTAAACAGAGGAGGAGTCCGTGATTACTCAGAAAAAAAACAAAACCGGCTTTGGCAGCCCAGCACATTCTTTTAAATAAATCAACGAACTGGCTTTCACAAGCATCAGGATGGCGATCACACAAATCCACACTTGGTAGAAGGTGTGCACATGCACACACACACACACACACACACACACACGGGCAAGTGCACCTCAAAACTCATGAAAACGAATGTGATTTAGTAACAGCTGCACTGGTGTCTCCAGGGTTTGAAAACGCTCTGCGGTAACAGACAGTATCAGTGGGCAGCTGGGTCAATGTCCCCACGATCTCTCTGTGCTATTTCTGCAACTTCTTTTGAGTGTTAAATTATTTCCAAATAAAATAGCTAATAAACACTGGCTTCAAAACAACAACGGCTCAGACTGTAAAGAAATTGCCTGCCATGCCGGAGACCCGGGTTCAATCTCTGGGTCAGGAAGATCCCCTGGAGAAGGGAATGGCAACCCACTCCAGTATCCTTGCCTGGAGAATTCTCTGGACAGAGGAGCCTGGCAGGCTATAGTCCATGGGGTCGCAGAGAGTCAGACATGACCAAGTGACCAACGCTTTCACTTTTCAAAACAACAGCATGTCCTGGTCTATCTTTTCCAGGGTTCTGTTGTTCATTTTTCTGGCTGTACCACATGGTATGTGGGATCCTAGTTTCCCAACCAGGGATGGAACCTGCGCCCTGGTACTGGGAGTGTGGGGTCTCAGACACTGGACCACCAGGGAAGCCCCAGGCTTTTTAGGGTTTTTGATATTCATCTCCTCTCACAGCTCCTGCCTCCTGGAATACCTCCTTTCCTTCTCTTTGATGAAAAAACTGGTGGGGACCCGAGGGCAGGGACCCCTCAGAGGGTCTGGCCACCAGACAGGTACAGTGACTGCAGAGCCCACCCAGGCATCAGCCGGGTGTCTGGCACAGGTGGTGGGAAGCCCGACTTGCAGGCCGAAGAACAAAGGCTGGTGACCCCTGTGCTTGGGGCCAGGGTCAGATGACTCCCGGGTGGGCCTCCAGGCTCAGAGTGCGATTCGCTTCTCATGGGTCAACGGTCCCCCTTCAATTTGAGTGACCACCCCCTGCAGCAGTTCTTCCAGCTGAGAAGCTGGTGACAGGTGACAGAGAGTGTGGAACAGCCCAGCAGCTGCTCAGCTGTGTACACACCTTGAACCTGCATCTCCCAAGTGGCCCCCGTGATGCACCCTCCATCTTCACCCTGGAGGAGAGATTCAGGTCCCACACTCTTGCCCTGTCCACGCCAAGGAGATGCCACCAAATATTCTTCCCGGAATATGCAAAACTGAGCCGAGTTCCAAGAAACACAAAGGCTTCCTACGCCCTGCACCATCCCCATGGCACCTACAACTGAAGGCACCCCGGCCCCCACAGCAGGAACCCGTTATCCGTGTAAATTCCTCACCCGCCCCCAAGGTGGTGAGCCAGCTCCCTAGGAATGCTGCCGTCCGCCCCCAGCCCAGACAGGCGGCAACATGGCCCGGCTGGAACCCTTGCATCTTCCAAGGTGGCAAGGAGCTAAAACAGACGCCCTGGGCCGCCCAGGAGGCAGGATCAGCCAACAGAGGTGTGGGCATCGGGGTGAGGGGAGAGAGCCTTGGCAGGGACAAAGGGCTCCTGACCCCAGCCTTGGAGGGAGACCAAGTCCTAGGTGCAACCCTGGGGTTGACTCATTAACTAGTTAAAGCCAAGGCAGGAGAAGTAAACACCTGGGGAGGGCAGGAGGGGTAGCTGAGTCATCCACCCCCAGCAGAGGCTGATGGGCTAGAAGGAGCGGGAGGCTTGGCTTGCCTGTAACACACCCCCACCCTACCCCTGCCCGCAGCAGGGGCTGATGGACTAGAAGGAGCGGGAGGCTTGGTCTGCCTGTAACCCCCCCCCACCCTACCCCTGCCCGCAGCAGGGGCTGATGGACTAGAAGGAGCGGGAGGCTTGGCCTGCCTGTAACCCCCCCCACCCTACCCCTGCCCGCAGCAGGGGCTGATGGACTAGAAGGAGCGGGAGGCCTGGCCTGCCTGTAACACACCCCCACCCTACCCCTGCCCGCAGCAGGGGCTGATGGACTAGAAGGAGCGGGAGGTCTGGCCTGCCTGTAACACACCCCCACCCTACCCCTGCCCGCAGCAGGGGCTGATGGACTAGAAGGAGCGGGAGGCCTGGCCTGCCTGTAATACACCCCCACCCTACCCCTGCCCGCAGCAGGGGCTGATGGACTAGAAGGAGCGGGAGGTCTGGCCTGCCTGTAACACACCCCCACCCTACCCCTGCCCGCAGCAGGGGCTGATGGACTAGAAGGAGCGGGAGGCCTGGCCTGCCTGTAACACACCCCCACCCTACCCCTGCCCGCAGCAGGGGCTGATGGACTAGAAGGAGCGGGAGGTCTGGCCTGCCTGTAACACACCCCCACCCTACCCCTGCCCGCAGCAGGGGCTGATGGACTAGGAGTGGGAGGCCTGGCCTGCCTGTAACACACCCCCACCCTACCCCTGCCCGCAGCAGGGGCTGATGGACTAGAAGGAGTGGGAGGCATGGCCTGCCTGTAACACACCCCTCACCCTACCCCTGCCCGCAGCAGGGGCTGATGGGCAAGCGGAGAACTCAGGGTTACCGACTCAGCACCAGGCCCTGGGGGCCAGAAAGTCACGGGAGAAGTTGGCCTGAGGTGACCAGGGCAGGAGCCTGGGGGGAGGCTTTTAACACCTCATCTCAGTTGCTTTCCCTTCTTCCTGGAGGAGAGCCCAGAGCACCCTGGAACAAACCTGACACCCCTCACCAGGGAGGGGCCTGCTTTCCCCTTCCCCTCTGCAGCTCTTCCCCCGGCCCAGTGCTCCCACTCTGCTCCTCTTTCTAAGTCTACCTGACCTGGGAACCATCTGGAATCCCCTCCCCCAGATACCCACATGGCTAGCATCTCCTGCCCATCCAGGTACCAGCTCCGAAGTCTCCCCGAGTCGCCCAGCCACGCCACCCAGTGGCCACGTCACCGTCTCATCACCCCTTTGCTCTCCCGAACAGGACCCCCAGGCTGTCTCCTCCAGGGACTCAGGTCTAGAGTCCCATAGTAGGTGAGCCCGAGTGCCTCAGGCCCCAGCCCAGCTCCTCATAACAGTGAACCTGAGCTGTGTCAAGCAGTTTGCGGGGGGACAGCAACCCCGCCAGGGCACTGGAGGAGGGTCAGGCCACCGCGCGGAGTGCAGGTGTGGTGCCAGGTTACAGCCTGGGTACAGCGGTGTCCAGGCCCGGGTGAGATGCTCACGGAGCCATGAGCCCTTCATGGCCCTTCACCTCCTGCCCTGGTTTGCTTTGACAGCGAGGGCTTGTGACGTATGGCCAGCAGCCATCTTGGCCTCCTGAGCTCCCAGCATCGAGACATGTTTAATGTTGGGAGTTTCTGGGTTTGTACATGTCATTTCTGTCCATTGATCCCACTTCGGAGCACACCCCCTGCACATCCCCAGTTCTGAATCAAAAATCAATAATCATCAGTGTTGGCATAGCAGTGTATAAGGACTAAGAACCAAGCACCTAAAAGGTACATTCTTATGACACTTTTGTCCTACTGTTGGGAGGTTACACCAGGGAAATAAAGATAATCCTAAAATGTAGTGGACTTGATTTGAGTTTCACAATAGGTCAGGGATTTTTGCCGTTTTGTCTTTCCCACTAACTGATCTCCTGCACCTAGAACAGAGCACAGATATAGGAGGTGCCTAATTAAGACGCATGCACTAGAAGAACTCTATTTTCCACTGCAGTTCTTCAAACCAAGATCACTGCAGACAGTGAATGCCTGAGAGCACTTAAAATCATGGTTTATTCATCCAACAGTCTCAGTCCAAGCACAAAAACCCCATTACAGAAAAATATTTCATTACTTGGAGTTAAGTAGAGAAGGCAGACATGGTCCTAATTACAGGAATGTGCAGTTAGATGGATCTGGATTAGAAACCTCACTCCCTCCTGTCACTCAGAGTGTGTGACTTGGGCTCATCCCTTAATTTATTGAGGATCTGCTCTGGGGCGGGGTGGGGGGGGGGGGAGGGCACCCACCTAGGTGCTAGCATGTGGGCATACTCAGCCACTCAGCCATGTCCGACTCTTTGCAACCCCATGGACTGCAGCCTGCCAGGCTCCTCTGCTCATGGAATTTCCCAGGCAAGAATACTGGAGTGGGTTGCTGTTTCCTCCTCCAAGGGATCTTCCTGACCCAGGGGTCGAACCTGAGTCTCCTGCATTGGCAGGCAGTTTTTGTTTTTTTTCATCACTGAGCCATCAGGGAAGCCCACAGACATCCTTAGCATTGCAAGTGGATTCTTTATCACCCAGAAGCCCCACCTAGGTGCTGGGCCACAGCACAAACAAGCCTTGGCCTCTCTGAGCCTTGGGGGACTCAGCTATGAAATACCTCCCACCTCAACTCACCATCCAGCTAGAGTAACAGCAAAGGATGGAGTGGAGTGGGCGCGGGGGGTCATACCCCAGGTCCACATGACCATCTGGCTTCCAGGAAACAGACCCTCCTCCCCAGGGTAAAAGATGGACCATCTTATGATCATTAGCAGGACTCACAAGGCAGCGTGGCAATGTGGGGAGTCAGTGACCGGCCTGCCCAGTTGCCAGGAACACCTGCTTGGGGCATCAGGACGGATCCACAGCAGCTCCTTGGCTTCCTTGTCCTCGGGAGGCTCCTTCTCCAGGCCTCCTCTCCCCAAGTGTGCCCCTGAGAGGTGGGGGCACCCTGTAGACCTTCGGAGGGTGTCTGCGGGGGGTGTCTCAGAAGGCATGGTGGGACCTGCCAAAGGGAAGGGGAGGAGAAGCTGTCAGTTCAGCCTGTTTCCAGATTCCTGCAGAAGAGGTTGCTTTACAGCTCTCAAGTGGGGACTCCTGCTCACCCGGCCTCCTCTGAGTGTGGGGTTCCTCTCACTCAAGAAGCTGGGCACGGAGAGGCTTAACTATGCAGGTACCAGCTGCTGTGGAAAACAACTAGGCACTTTCCCAAAAGGCTAAACGTACAGCTACTGTGTGCTGCAGCTATTCCATTCCTACACACCTACCCAAAAACGTGGAAACAGATATTTGTCCACCACATTCATAACAGCACTATTCTCAATAGCAAAAACATGCAAACAAACCAAATGTCCCTCAGTGGATGAACGGATAAACAAAATGTGGCTTATCCACACAGTGGAATTGTATTTGGTCACAAGAATGGAATGAAGTTTTAACTCTCAACATATGAACACACACACACACAGCAGCTATGTAGAGGTAATGAATGTTATTTATCTTATAGGTTGATTGTGGTGTCTTTTCACAATGTATATGTAAATCAAAACATCAAGTTGTATACCTTAAATATACATACAACTTTTATACATCAAAGATGTAACAACAATGTTGTGTTAAAAAGACTACATTTAATGACGAAAATAATTAGAGGAAGATGAAGATAATAATAAATATATTTTTACCCTAAAAAAAGGAAACATTCTGCTGAGTCCAGTAAATCAGACAAAGAAGAAACATTGCATGACTCCACCTGTATGAGGTGCTCAGAACAGACAGAATCAGAGACAGTGAGAACAGAGCTTTCCAGGAGCTGGGGAAAGGAGTCACTGTTTAATGGGCAGAGTTACCATGAAAAAGTATGGGGTACAGATAATAGTGATGCCTGCACAACACTGTGAATGTAAGTATTGTTACCAAATTGTACAGTTGTGAATGGTTAAAATAAACAACATATTACATGTATTTTATCAAATTTTTATAATCTCATGGAACCTTAAAACAGATGACCAAAAAAAAGAAAGGAAAGAAAGAAAGGGGAATGGACAGCCATCACTCATCAGGCTGACGACTGAAAACTTACCACGGCTCCAACTCTGTAAGGAGCAGTGAAGACTAAATGGAATGAGGTCTCCAGAAGGGAATCCCAGAACAGAAAAGGGTACTAGGGGAAACTAAGGAACTCTGAGTAAGTGTGGACTTTAATTAACAGTAATGTTCATTGATTGCAAAAAAAAACCTAAGATGGTAATAAGAGGAGGAACTGTGTCTATGTGTGTGAGGTGGTGGGGGCAGCGGGGAGGAGGGTGTTGGGTTGTGAGAACTCTGTTCTATTCCCAACTTTTTTATAAATCTAAAGTTCCCCTTCCCCAACGTACCTGTTGCCCTGGGGGTTTGGAAGGTCCCTGAGAGGAGCTCAAGGTAGGGATGTGGCTCCAGGTGATCTCTGAGTGGAGCCCCACTCCCGCCCTCCTCCTAGAAGCTAGAGGGACCCCAGACTCCCAGCCCTGTGCCTCTGCTCCCCAGGAGGCTTAGGAAGGCAGGTATGCTGTGAAGAGGTCGGGTAGTCCAGGCAGAACTGGGCCCCACGCTTGGAAGTAAACATGGAGGGTAACAGACCAGCTGGCTCTCTCCTCCGGAGCAGGTCCTGTGGGTGCCGCTGCCATCAGCAAGGGTAGAGGCAGCCCCAGCTGGTTGTCTGTCTCCCAGGGCAGGGTCAGGTGCAGACCAGCGCCCAGCAAACAGGTCGCCCCAGATGCCCAGGCCGAAGTCTAGGGAGGCGGAGACCCCCACCCTTTGCAATCACATCCATTTCAAACCCCCGAGGCCCTTTCAAAATTTCCCCCGGCTTTCCCAGGCAGAAATCAGTCTTCCAGCTCGTCTGCGTGAAACGTGCCTGAAGCAGTAGTTCCTTCAAACCCTGGGATCAGCAAATATTTTTTCAGGGGTTTAGGTCCCCTCATGAAACCCTGCAAGTATATCCTACGCCATTCTTGCTCCTTATCAAAAAACCCCTGAGGTAAGCGGGACACTGCCCTGGCTCCACGGGGCGCCCGCCGGGCAGGGGGAGGTGGTTCTTCCATCACGCAGAAGCGCCCCTGTCGTAGACCTCTCTCCCCATCAGAGGCCCACAGGCCGGCAGCCCCAGGCTGTGGCCAGTCCCCCGCAGACGCAGGCAGCCCCGCGCCTCCTAGGTGGCGACCTACCTCGCCTCGAGCAATCTCCGGAAAGGTAAGGAGCTACTGGGAACTCAGACCGGAGCCGACAGTCTCTACAGAACCCACAGGCACTCGGCGCGACGCTCGCTGGGCGACTGGGTTCCGAACCCGCGAACTCGGTCCCGCCCAGCCTGGCTCGGCTCCAGGTGGGCCCAGTTCCACGTAGGCACAGCGCCCAGCGCGCCGACGCACGTGCGTCCGGGGCAGGCGGGCTCACTTAGCGCCGCCCTGCGGGCTCCTGCGGCACCTCAAACCGCAAGACCCTCCTGGGGTCACGACCCCCGAGAGCACCCGCACCCCGCCCCCCCGCCCCCCAACCCCCCGCACCGTGCACACGCGCTCCAGTCGGTCCAGGGGTCCAGTCAGGGCCAAGGGCGCGAAAAGTAGTAAATTCCTGTTTCCTAGTGAGACTTTCCAGGCGGGAAATCGAGCCTCTCCGTGGACCTGGAGACCGCGGGTCACCGGCCCATCGGAGGGGCATTTGGGGACACTGTGTGGGATAAACACCCCCAAGAAACCCTTGGGAGGCTACGTTTTGCGCTCCCGCCCCTCCTCCTCCTCCACTTCCCCTCCCTACTGTCGCTCAGCCACCCACCCCGCCTAGGGCTTAAAGTATAGGGTCGAATGGCACCCTCCCCCATTCCCTTGGTTTGTGCCGGGGGCGGGGCCCTGCGTGCCCTGCACTCCCTCGCCACCCTACCCCCGCCCGCGGGCAGCCAGCGCTCGTGCGGCGCGCGCAACCACATCAATATTTTACACACACACACCCCAGTTCATAGAATAGACGGAAAAGAGCAATTTACGAAAAGACCATTTTTCATCCAAAAAGCAGCAAAAAATCAATGATGGAACGCACCATTAGAGCGCACCTTTCAAAAGTTCCCTCCCCAGGTCTCGGCTCCACGCTCCTCGGCTCTCGCCCCCCGCCGTCCCCTGCTCAGCCTCGGGAGCTGGAGCGGAGGCCCTACGCCACGTGGGCGCGGAAACCCCTGCTTCAGGAGCGTCTGGACTCGCGCTAGGAGTGGGTCTGGGACGCCCCAGGCGCGGCCCCGGCTCGGCGGCGAGCAGATGAAGATGATGCAACACTGGCCCGGGGTTGGGCGGCGGGGACCCCCTTCCGAGAACCCAGCCAGATCCCTCCGCCTATGGGTGAGGCGAGTCTCGGTCCTACAGGTGCTCACCTGGACCGAGACCCGGAGAGAGAGGAGGGCTGGGCGCGTCCGGGAGCGGCGAGCGGCGGCCGAGAAAGCTGCGACTCAGAGACGCGACCCCACTGCAGGCTGGCTACCCGGCACCCGGTGGCCAGAGTGAGAGGAAGGCGATTGGCCGAGAGCAGGGGGGCGGGGGACGGCACCCGGCCAATCCCGAGTTGCAGATCGAGGCCCCTCCCCTCACCTCGCCCGTACCCGCCCCGTCGCCACGCCCCCGGCGCACCGCCCCCCTCCCTCCCCCACGGCCTCACCCCCACGGCCCCACCCCGAACTCTGGTTAGACGCCAAGAGGGGCAGGTGGCCAGTGTCTTCTCCTCTCCCCTCGCTCCCGGGACCCCCTCCCGCCCCGCCACCCCTTCCCCTCCCGCGCTTCTCTACCCCGAGACCCCAACCTGAGCGAAGGCTCTGTACCCAGTGTCCCGATTCTGTTTTACTTGGGTAACTCCTTGCTCTGCGGGAATGTAGTATTTTTTGTTGAGTTGCATACAGGCCTGCGATCTGGAGAGAGGAAGGACTTGAGGATGAGCCTCAGCACGTATCACGCGGGCCCCAGTCTGCGACCACCCAAGGTTCTTTCTGGTCTCGGGACCCCAAGGGGCCGAAAGCCGGGGGCCCAGCGTGCGGACAGTAGGCGCTCTGCACCCAGGCTTCGGATCCATCATCGCGGGTTTGTCCTGCCCCTCATGGTCCAAGGGTCCGGCACATACAGCGCTTCGCCGGCCGAGCCCCACTGTGTGCCGAGCCCGGTGACCGCTCGCATCAGGGAGGAACCTGAGCGCTCATGGACATGGCATAAGCCACAAAGCCGTTGTGAACCGGGCTGCTGGCAGGCTGTCCCCAGCCCCGGGAGCCAATGGCTGACCGCCAGGATGGCCCTGGCCGTTGGGAAGGCCACCGCTAACAATAGTGTTCCAAACTGGTTACTCTCGGTTTTTAAAGAGCCTGCGTTTCTCTTGAGGTTCCTGAGCTGAATGGAGAAACACTGACCCTTGAATTTCTCCTGCACGGTAGTGACTAAGTCAGGGGCGGAGCCGCCAGGTTTGGGCAGAGGATGGAGTTACTGCGCCCAGTGCCCAACTGTTTACTGTCCGGCCACGTGCCAGCTCTGCACCCGGGCCTGCTCGGGGAAACAGAGTGCAGACGGGGCCTCTGCGCCTGCGCAGTTGCTGTTCTAGGGGAGCAGGCTCCACAGACATCATTTTCTAAGAAACGTCCACTAATGAGACTGATACGAAGAATGACAAAGTGAGAGAGAGAAATGGAGAGAGACAGGAATGGGAGTCCCAGATCAGGTGGTCAGCAGGCTCTCTGGACAGGTGACCCTTGAGCAGGGAGCTTAAGAACCACACCTTGTTCCGGGGACGGATGTCCCTGGCTCAAGTCGATCAGGGCAAAGGCCAGAAGCAGGGGATCCAGAGAAGGTCAGTGCCGCCAGAGAAGGAACAGGAGCGCCCGGAGGGTGGGAGGGGTGGCTGGGTCCAGACCTGGGTTCTGACTTCAGCCTCGATGACCTGGGGCACTTGAGAGGATTTCCAGTGGGGAGTTTTTGATTGTGCTCAAATTATTTTC